GTCAGGGGTCACCAGGGAGGGTAGCAGGGGCTTGGGGGGGGGAGATTGGGGGGCACCGAGAAGGGGGGGGCTTTGGGGGGAGATTGGGGGGCACCAAGAAGGGGGGGGCTTTGGGGGGTGATTGGGGGGCACCAGGGAGGGTGTGGGGGGGACAGAGGCACCGGGGAGGGCCGGGACAGGGGGCACTGGGGAGACTATGGGGGGAGATTGGAGGGCACCGGGGAGATTGGGGGGCTCTGGGGAGGTTTTGGCCCCCCCCCCGACCCCGCTCCCCCTCTTTCCAGGCGTGCTGTCGGAGGAGCAGCTGCGGAAGAAGAAGGTGCGGCGGCAGCAGCAGAAGGGGGCGGGAGGGGAGGCGCCGCTGCCGCAGGTGCCCCCCCTGCCCCCCACGCCCCTCGCCGAGCCGGCCCGGCTCAGCCCCCAGCAGGAGCTCATGATCCGGCAGCTGGTGGCCGCCCAACAGCAGTGCAACAAGCGCTCCTTCAGCGACCAGCCCAAGGTCACGGTGAGGGGCCGGGGGGGGGGAACGACACCCCAGCTTGGGACCAGCCCCCACCTCCACCTGCCCACCCACCGTGTCTCCCACTCGGCGCCACGAGCACTGTTAACCCTTCGCCTCCCCCGCTACGGGGGAGCCCTGCAAAGCACGGAGGGAAACCGAGGCATGCAGGGGTGGCGTAAAAATATTACCAAGAATTCCCACTTCATTACAGGGTGTCCCCCCAGCGCCCCATCTGGGCATCATGGGGAGGGTGCTGCTCCTGGCTTCCCCCCCAGATCTGGGCATCATTGGGCATCAGCCCCCCGCCCCCAGCTTCCATGTCTGGGAGGCCCTGTGGCGCTCCCAACGCGGGGCAGGGTTGGGGGTGTCCCTGGTATCCAGGACTGGGTGCCCCTCGGGATGCTGTGTGTCTCACCGCCCCGTGTCCTCCTCGTCCCCCCCCCCAGCCATGGCCCCTGGGCACCGACCCCAACAGCCGGGAGGCCCGACAGCAGCGCTTCGCCCACTTCACCGAGCTGGCCATCATCTCGGTGCAGGAGATCGTCGACTTCGCCAAGCAGGTGCCCGGCTTCTTGCAGCTCACGAGAGAGGACCAGATTGCGCTGCTCAAGGCCTGCACCATTGAGGTGAGTGGGGGGGCAGGGCAGGGAGGGGGGGCGGCTCACAAACTGCCTGCAGCCTGTAGGTCACTACCCATCTCTGTCTGCATGCGCTGCAGTGAGCCATAATTTTCCTCCTGCCAGCCTTGGTTACACTCGATTTTTTTTCCCCCCTGATATGTGCGTCCTGTACTGGCCAGCTCTCCCCTGGACAATACACTTTTATGTAAAGTCCGTTATTGCTTTAATAGAAAAAATACACACATGACTTGCTACCCCAAATGGAGTTTCCCCAACACTTCAGTTCAAACACGCTGGATTAGATAAAACAATAAAACACGTTCGTTAAGGACTGAGAGATTTTAAGTTAGTCTGAGTATGAGGCTGTGATGGTCTGTACTATTATGGTCCCCACTTTTACAAGCCTATGATAAATTTTGTACAAACTTTGCCTCGTTAGGAGTCATTTTAAAAACCCCATAATCTGCTGAACATTAGTATCATGGTAAAATATGTGCATCGACATTGTATGTGAAGTTATAAGTGTCCAATGTATAACGTTCCTGTAACATATTCCAACGTTAGAAAAGCAGGCTCAAACCAGTTCTTCAGAGACAAAGACGCACTGGTGCCCCCAGCCAGGTATCAGCATAATCAATTAAGAACATAAGAACGGCCAGACTGAGTCAGACCAAAGGTCCATCTTGCCCAGTGTCCTGTCTACCGACAGTGGCCAATGCCAGGTGCCCCAGAGGGAATGAACAGAACAGGGAATCATCAAGTGATCCATCCCCTGTCGCCCATTCCCAGCTTCTGACAATCAGAGGCTAGGGACACCATCCCTGCCCACCCTGGCTAATAGCCATTGATGGACCCGTCCTTCATGAACTGATCTAGTCCTTTTTTGAACCCTATTATGGTCTTGGCCTTCACAACATCCTCTGGCGAGTTCCACAGGTTGACTGTGCGTTGTGTGAAAAAATATTTCCTTTTGTTTGTTTTAAACCTGCTGCCTGTTCATTTCATTTGGTGGCCTCTAGTTCTTGTGTTCTGAGAAGGAGTAAATAACACTTCCTGATTTACTTTCTCCACCCCAGTCATGATTTTATAGACCTCTCTCATATCTCCCCTTAGCCGTCTCTTTTCCAAGCTGAAAAATCCCAGTTTTATTAATCTCTCCTCATACAGAAGCTGTTCCAGACCCCTAGTCATTTTTGTTGCCCTTTTCTGAACCTTTTCCAATTCCAATCTATCTTTTTTGAGATGGGGCGACCACATCTGCACGCAGTATTCAAGGTGTGGGCGTACCATGGATTTATATAGAGGCAATATGATATTTTCTGTCTTATTATCTATTCCTTTCCTAATGACTCCCACCATTCTCTTCGTTTTTTTGACGCCGCTGTTTTCAGAGAACTCTCCACAATGACTCCAAGATCTCTTTCTTGAGTGGTAACAGCTAATTTAGACCCCATCATTTTATACGTATAGTTGGGATTATATTCTCTGACGTGCATCACTTTGCATTTAACAACGTTGAATTTCATCTGCCTATTTTATTGCCCAGTCACGAGAGATCATTTTGTAGCTCTTCGCAGTCTGCGTAATCTGAGTAGTTTTGTATCATCTGCAAATTTTGCCACCTCAAGGTTCACCCCTTTTTCCAGATTATTTATGAATATGTTGAATAGGACTGGGCCCAGTACAGACCCCTGGGGGACACCACTATTTACCTCTCTCCATTCTGAAAACGGACCATTTATACCTATCCTTTGTTTCCTATCTTTTAACCAGTTACCGATCCACGAGAAAACTTTCCCTCTTATCCCATGACAGCTTAAGAGCCTTTGGTGAGGGACCTTATCAAAGGCTTTCTGAAAATCTAAGTACACTATATCCACTGGATCCCCCTTGTCCACATGCTTGTTGACCCCCCTCAAAGAATTCTAGTAGATTAGCGAGGCGTGATTTTCCTTTACAAAAGCCATGCTGACGCTTCCCCAACAAATCATGTTCATCTGTGTGTCTGACAATTTTGTTCTTTACTAGAGTTTCAACCAGTTTGTCCGGTACTGAAGTCAGACTTACTGGCCTGTAATTGCCGGGATCACCTCTGGAGTCTCTTTTAAAAATTGGCATCACATTAGCTACCCTCCGGTCATCTGGTACAGAAGCTGATTTAAATGACAGGTTACAAACTACAGTTAGTCGTTCTGCAATTTCACATTTGAGTTCCTTCAAAACTCTTGGGTGAATCCCATCTGGTCCTGGTGACTTATTACTGTGTAGTTTATCATTTTTTTTCCAAAACCTCCTCTACTGATACCTCAATCTGGGACAGTTCCTCAGATCTGTCACCTAAAAAGAATGGCTCAGGTGTGGGAATCTCCCTCCCATCCTCAGCCGTGAAGACCGATGCAAAGAATTCATTTAGTTTCTCCGCGACGGCCTTATCGTCCTTTGGACAATCACCTAGCAAGATGGCTGTTCGTTTGGCAGGAAGGAAGGTGTCGACACTTACAAGTTTTGCCAACATTAGTGCTAGCATAGACACGGCCTAAGAAATGTACGTTGCATCACAGGAGCGTTTCAAACGGCGCGTCCGCAAGAGACGGCTTGTCGCCCGCACCCCAGCGGGGCTCATCCTCAAAGAAGGGAGAGGGAGACAGTGACCTCCACTCACCCCGCTCCTGCCCCTGCCTCTCTGCTCATGACATCGGTGATTCTCCAAAGAACTGACCTAAGCGGGAGTGGTCGCAGGCTGGAAGGAAACCCAGCCTGTGAAATTTACAGCAGCGTCTGGGGAGACCGAACTTTTGCTGTTAAAGCCACGTAGCTTGTGGAGTTAGGCGGTAACTTGCGTTTTACTCGTTGATTTTCTTTTGTAACCAGTCCTGACATTTATGCATCCACACTTCTAATCACTGCAAATCGGTCTTTCTGTAATGAACAGACGTGCCTTGTGCTTTATCTGAACCAGCGTGTTTGGAGGGGAGTGCATGGGAAAACGCCGTTTGGGGATAAGGCGGCCGGTGCATACATCAGCCCCTTTGTTTTCAGTTTAAACCGATTTCTACCAAAAAATTCCCGGGTTTTACAAAAAGTATTCCTCTCCCTCCCCCCCCCCCATTTTCACCCTACTTTTTTATCATTCAAATATATAAAAAAAAGAACTTGTTTTATTAGGAAAATACAATGCATTGCACGAGATCGATGTATTACAAGAATAGGTTAATCTGTGTGGAGATGCGAAGCTGCCTGTTGAAATAAGGCATTGGTGAGGCCGCGCCTGGAGTATTGCGTCCAGTTGTGGGCCCCCCACTACAAGAAGGATGTGGACAAATTGGAGAGAGTCCAGTGGAGGGCAACGAAAATGATTAGGGGGCTGGGGCACATGACTTACGAGGAGAGGCCGAGGGAACTGGGTTTATTTAGTCTGCAGAAGAGAAGAGTGAGGGGGGATTCGATAGTAGCCTTCAACTACCTGAAGGGGGGATCCAAAGAGGATGGAGCTCGGCTGGTCTCCAGTGTCGGGGATGACAAGAAA